CGATCACCTCCTTACTCCTGCTGGCCACACCATTGCTGACACAAGCCAGAATGCTGTTGGCCTTCTTGGCCACCTGGGAACACTGCTGCCTCATGTTCAGCCAGCTGTCGACCAGCACTCCAAGATCCTTTTCCGCTGGGCAGCTTTCCAGCCACTCTTCCCCAAGCCTGTAGCGTTGCATGGGGTTGTTGTGACCAAAGTGCAGGACCCGGCATCTGGCCTTGTTGAAACTCATACAGTTGGCCTCGGCCCATCGATCCAGTCTGTCGAGATCCCTCTGCAGAGCCTTCCTACCCTTGAGCAGATCGACACTCTTGCCCAGCTTGGTGCCATCTGAAAACTTACCGAGGGACCACTCAATCCCCTCATCCAGATCATTGATAAAGATGTTAAATAAGACCAGATGCAAAATTGAGCCCTGGAGGACACCACTCGTGACTGGCCACCAGCTGGATTTAACTCCTTTCACTACCACACTCCGCGCTCAGCCATTCTGCCAGTTCTTTATCCAGTGAAGAGTGCACCCATCCAAACCATGGGCAGCTAGCTATATAGCTATATGCTATAATACTGAAAATCACCCCATAGATTAGCTGTCTTCAGGCCTACTAAATACTACATCATAAAAACCATAAGTAGTAGATACTAATTTTAATATAATAAATAGTAGTTGCTTACTGAACTACATACAGATCTACAAGGTTTTTCATAGATATGTCCTGCTTTCTTAAACGGACCTTCCTGGTTCAACTGAAATGTAATGGATGTTTAACATGGAATGTAATGGATGTTTAAGCATGTTTAAAATTTAAAAAAACTTTCTATATTTGATCTGAAAGTTTTTGAGCCAAACAGACACCAGCTTGCATTCTCCAAATTGCAGCTTTGATAGAAAAACAATAATAACCCCCACCTGAGGAGTCAGTTATCTACAAAAAGCATCGTAAATAGTCATTCACGTGAGGAATATCATATTCAAGGCTACAAGCATCTAAATTTTACTCCACCATAAAAGTGCCCGGGGCTTGAGTATGTCTGCTCAGAACTCTGCTTATCTATAGACAAACAGATGCGCTATCTGAAAAGATGAATGG